TGGTGACAAAAAGGAAATCACTCAGAGAAGTATAAATTGATAATGCAGATCTCTCATGCTTCTAATTATGATCAGAGGTGGGACACAAAGTGATGAGGTAGATCACTATGGTAGTTTGAAGACAAAGGTCTAAGGTGCTTGCATGTGAGATGGCAAGAAAGAATTCAAAACTGGCACTAACCATCTTAGCTCCAATTAGTCATCAAATTTCGATCTATTTGTACAGAATATTTTCCCCAGCCACAAAATGGAGCTATTTCCAGAGGATCTAAATTTCTGTCTAGGAAAATGTCATGTTCTAGAATAGATAATGTATATCTATACAGTAAAATTGCTAATGTTAACATTTGAATGATCTTATGTCAAAGACTTGGGTAGCAGATAGATGCCAGTTTGTTTTGTGAGGCTTTCTTACCTTGGCTGCTTGAATTTCGAGGTCATCAACCATGATCTGAGTTGACAGAGGTCTCAACATGTAAATGAAGAACAAATCTGACTTTTCGAAAGCCACATTGTGAGCATGCCTGGAATTGGATATATATGAGAAGGATTCAAGAAAACAATGGTTTAGGTTTAAGAGTTGGAGATTAGCAAAACCCGTAATCATGTCATTTGACTTAGCGAAAAATCTATGTACAAGGCTAAATTTTTTGGCTATGCAGTATGATTTGGACTTCAATAGCTAGCCATGCCATAATTCTGTTTCCCTTTCTATATTAGCTGGAAGCATCAATTTTTTTTCACTTTTTCAACATTACTTCCAATAAATTCAAGCTAACTAAATAAAAACATGTAAATCTTCATTTGAATGAGGCCCAAAAGCAGGCGCAAAACCGGCATTGAGCCATACCTAGTGAACCTGGATAAGGTACAAAAAGTGTATGACTGAGACAGTGGAAGGTTATCAATCCAGTTACTGGTTAAGCATTTCCCTCGATTGAGATGATAATGTAGTTATAACATGTCAAGAACTTCTATACACACTTAGCTCATTTGGATTAAGGCTTATGAGTATGAAATGCCACATAATATACCTGAAAGCTATAACTTCCACAAATTCAGTGTCGATCTGAAACATAAAACAAATAATAGTCAAATTCACCATGAAGTTTTACACATGTTAACCATCTTAGAAGGTATGGAGCTCTTACACCAGTTTCCTCCTTAACTTCTCTTACAGCTCCCGTAAAGATCTCCTCTGACTGATCAATAGAATACATGGTAAAATAAGTTCAAAGTAAAACACGGACAGTTTTTGACATTATGATATTTAGGATATTGGAGATCGAAATGAAACAGTGTACCTCATGAATAAAACCAGTTGGTATTTTCCAAAGGCCAACAGGTTCTGGGGCACAGTATTTCTCTTGTACAACAAGCACCTATGTGATTTCATCAGAAATCTTGATATCAGAATTATAGAATTCTCCAGGAAAATGTTAATGTTTAGGGTAAGAAAATCAAAGTAGATAACAAAAGTGATTATGATGAAATGGCTTGTAGGAGGTTTCTGAGGTGGAAGGTATGTCAAACTGCTGGAACTGTGAAAGCTCTAGAGAATTTAATATCAGTAATCATCCTCTATGGTAATGCAAACCATAGAAGTCACACACACGAGAGTAATTTCCGCACTTATCTAAACGAAAATGAATAGGAAGACGATAATTTCAGATCTGCCAGCACTATTAGTGGACTGCAGCCACAGTAGAGAGAAAACTATGTCCTTCAAAACATGGTCACCAAATAAAAGCGTGAATCTAGTTTAATTAGTCTAAACGAAGAACCTCCTAAGCTTTGCAGATTTGATGCATTCTTTTTCATGTGATGTAAACACAGGCAAGCATACCTTATTTTTGTCATTGATAACAATACCCCCAACCCCAACTTGATGAGAAGCATTAGCAGGAAGCATGCTAGGTCCTTCAGGAATCCAATACGTCATCATGACGTATCCTACTTCAGCATGGTGGTACCGAAATCCTTCCCATAGAGAAATAACAATGCCAAACAGTGGAAGAGTTGGTATTCAGTGCCAATGAATCTTGCAGATATACGATTTTGGTTATGTAATTAACGAGCCCTTACATCGTTTAAATGGAGAAGGTTCAAATAAAAGTTTAGGGTTAATTATAAAATGCCCCCTTAAACTTTCAGTCTTATTTCAATTAGATCCCTCTTGTTTAAAATTGAATAATTTGCCCCCTTCAAGTTCCAAAATAACCAACTTGATTGATAAATTAGAAAAAAATTTTAAAATTACTTTTATACCCTTAGCCTTTATTCATCTCCATTTGCTTTCCTTTCTTTTTGCCCAATTTGTCAAATTGAGCCAAAAACTCCAATGCCACGAGTCACAAACCCTAATTGAGCCAAAAGCTCCAATGCCACCGGCCACAAACCACCACAACCACCTAGCTATAACCCACTGTAGGCACCACCCAACCACTCAGCCATAAACCACCTTAGCCATCAACCATCATAGCCACCAGCCATAATCAACTAATCAACTTGGACATAACTACACAAATTCTCTCTTTCTCTAGATGGCTGATGCCCAATAGAAGATAAATTTCTTTTAGGGTTGGAGTTGTTGGGGGCTACTGCTAGGGGTGGGTTTCAGTTTCACTAGTTGAGGGACGGGAAAGTAGTTGTTCGGGAGTGGGGTGTATTTGTAAGAGGGGTTCAGTTTCACAGGAGAGATAGGGAGTTGAGGGAAGGATGAGGTTTCACTGGAGGAGGAATTTCAATTGTTCAGGTGGGGGTGGGTTTCGGTTTCAATTTCAATGGAAGGCGAGGGAGTTAAATTTTTCACTAGAGAAATCGTCGGCTTTTTGTGTGAATTGTACATTTTTTTTCTTTTGATTTTTATTTTTACATAAAATATTAAGATAAGGATAGTTGTGAGTTTTTGATTAATTTAAGTCATTTTTAACGATGGTCAACTAACGGTAAGAGTTAATTAAAAATTATTCAAACATTAAAAGGGCAAATTATTCAAGTTTAAACCATAGAGACCTGTTTGAAACAAAACTCAAAGTTCAAGGGGACATTTTGCAATTAACGCAAAAGTTTATCATACAGCTAGTTCAATCTGAAAGGGTTAGATAAATACAGGCACATTCAAATCAAGGCTGTGGAGGTTAAACCTTTACTGCAACAGGAACAAACTGGGATTTTTCAAGTGGCAGCCTAAGCCAAACTCCCTTTTTTCCCTGCACTCTTCATGTAAATACCATGAATGCAAACTTGTATTCACTCTTTCATCAGTTAATTGAGGTCTTACATGGGAAAAGGGAAACTACCTTACTTTTCCAGTGAGACAGAGCTGAACGGAGTTTGGAAGCAAACACAATTGGATTGGATGGTAAACTTTCTGAATTAATAATAACTCCCCCATACTCATCATCAACTGCTTCAAGTACCTGCGTTTCTACAAAACACATACTTGAACTTGCACCATCTGTTCCATTGATTTGATGTAAAAAGCATTTGAGAGCAATTCTTTCTTGGCCAACTGAGCTAATAGCATTTTCTGGAGTAGTTGAATAGGAAGCCTTGGGAGGAATGTCTGAATACAAAATCCAAAAAAAGAAAAAAACAAATTGAAAGAACATTACAGCAGTTGTTAGAACTCAGAGCTGACAAAGAGATAAGCTCCTGATTTACTAACATAACAAGCCAATGGCATAGATTCTTGTCCAACAAGAGAGAAAAAAAAAATTGCAAGAACATTCTTTCTGCCTACCAACTACCCATTTTTCATTTGCCCATTATTTTTTGGCCATTCCTTTTCCACTCAACAATCAGAAAACAATTTAAGCTTGCAGAATCCAAAGGAGAACTGTGGCTGATTGCTCAAATTAAAGATTTCCAATAGCTCTAAGCAAGACTACACAAGCTTAAATTTTCTCAAACAGATGGAAAGCAATTACTTCTCTGCTTGGTTGCTAATAAGATGCAGGAAAATATATAGAAAACTAAGGATGTTTACCACAACATGGAAGACAAGCCATTGTTATAACTTGTAAGAGCATATTCAATTGTTACTCTTTTTTAAACCAAAATTTAAATTTGGGTAAAAATTCCTAAAAATTTTCTCCAATACTAAACTCATATTCACATCAAATCAAGGGGACTCAATTTTTTACTCAAATAAAGAGAGACCCAAATTCATATCCAAATATTTAATGGTGATATTTCACCATTTTTTAAAAATTTAATGGTCATATTTTATCCTCTTTTAAATTTGAAGTTGTCTTTATTTAAATTTGGATTTCTCTTTTTTTTTTTTAAAATTTGAGTTTCTGTATTGGAGAGGTATATACCAAATCAAACTTTGTACCTCATTTTTTACTCAAATTTGGGTAAGAGTTTGAGTTTCCATTGGAGATGGAGCATCTCCAATTTTTACCCTTTTTTGAACCTAAATTTAAATTTAGATAAAAAAAACTCTTAAAAACCTTCCCTAATATTAGACTCATGTCCATATCGGGAGACTCATTTTTTTGCTCAAATTGAGGGAGAGTCAAATTCATATCCAAATCTTTAATTGTGAGATTTTATCCTCCTTTAAAAATTCAATAGTTATATTTTATTCTTTTTTAAATTTAAATTTGTCTTCATTTAAATTTAAATTTTCTTTCTTTTAAATTTGTGTTTCAGATGTCTAAACAAAATGAAGTTTTTTACCTTTTTTTTTAACTCAAATTTGAGTAAGAGTTTGAGTTTGGATTGTAGATATTCTAAGTGACAAAATTTTCGTTCCTTTTCCCACATTACTAGCTTCCTTGCCAAAGAAAATGGAAATGAGAGAGAGAGAGAGAGAGAGAGAGAGAGAGAGAGAGAGAGAGAGAGAGAGAGAGAGAGAGAGAGAGAGAGAGAGAGAGAGAGAACTATGATTCCAGTTTTAGGAGCAGAAAATTACCCTTGTAAGAAGAGAGCTGTGGAGAGACTTTGACGCCAATCGCATTCCATTTCACAAAAGGGCTCGAAAACGTCATTCTCTCTGAGCACTTAGACACAGATAGCAACTTCGAATCAAAAAATTTCAGCTCCATTAAATGACACCTATCAAATCCCAAGTATTTTTTCGAAATTGCCACAATTTGACAATCCAGTGAAATCAATCCTCTCATTATATATATGAGTAGCCCACATTATAATGCACAATAATTGCCAAAAATTCCTTGTAAAAATTCTTTTTAAGAACAAGAAGTCAAGAATATTCTGGGGATGCTTCGCCTTTCGGTGTTAACTAAACATTACTCGACTAAGTAAAGGGTAAAAAGTGACAAACATACAAAAACAAACAACAAAAATCCAAGACAAAGAAGCAAAGGGATTGTTTGTAGTTTTGAAAATAAACACAGATGGAGACAACCCATTAATGCCATGATTAAGCTCCAGAATTATCCTAAAAGTTTAAAGAAAGTTAACGGGTGTGTTGCTTTAACTTGAGTTAGTTTAAAGAAATATCTCATAACGAATAAGGATGACTGACCCTTAAAAACTGTAAAAAGTATCAAACCTGAGACATTTTACTTATAAGACTGGACCACTTAACCACCCACCCCTAAAGGTTGCTTCTTAAAAGGTGACAACCTAGAAGAAATCAACAAAACAAAAAAATCTTTTTATTCTTTTAGTGTTAAAAACAAAATCTTTTGTATTTAGTCACCTTCAAATTTTAAAATGAATTAAATTTCAAATCTTATTGTGTAAAAGGGTTGAATTTAAATAACTCTACTCGAATAGATTTAACTTTGGTTGAATAAATTCTATCTTCTCGAGAGATGAATAACCTAAAATTTATTAGCATTCTAGACCTTGAGCACAATGATAGGTCATATACACTTCTTTTTTTTCTCCTCTAATATATTTGCCAAATTTAGACTTATTTTGCTTAATCTTATGTTTTCTCAATAAGTAATATGATCTACAACCTTTAAGAGATTTTTATTAAAAAATTTGATTGTAAGTTAAGAGTTTTAATTTTTTAAAACATTTACCAAGAAATTAAACTTGATCCGGCCTAGATTAATAGACTCAAAAGCCTATATAGGCCCAAGTCCATACATCTTAAAAGGGCTTCCCCCCAAAGCCCATTAATTTTAGGAAAATTTGGAGGTTGGTTCTCTTATATAGATTTGTTTGGATTTAAGTTCGTCAAAGAAATTTATTTGTTATGAAATCCATTTTTTATTAATTTTACTATATTATCCTTTCGCTTTAGAAGTAAAATAAAATTAAAAATTAAAAATTCCTAAATCTTAGGAGTTTGATTAACATTAAAATCTTTTCTCTCTCATATCTATCTATATCCATATATATATAGTAACATTCAAATACAAAAAAAAGTTTTTATTTGGACACAAAAAATAATATATTTAAACACAAAAAAAATAGTAAAATTTAAACATAAAAAAATTGAAATATTCAATATTAATATTTTTTAAAAAAATAACAGTAACATGTTCAACAAAAATAGTAACTTGCTAAACAAAAATTGTAACATACTTAACAATAAATATTTCTCTTAAATTTAAACGCAAAAAATAATACCATTCAAATACAAAAAATAGTCATATTTAAAAATAAAAAAATAGTAACATTGAATATTAATATTTAGAAAAATAATAGTAGTAACATGCTCAACAAAAATAGTAACATGTTCAAAATAATAGTAACATAAACAATAACACACTCAACAAAAAAAGTAACATAAATAATAACATACTCAACAAAAGCAGTACCATGAATTTAAATTTTACTATTTAAATTCATAGTAATATGTTGATGTAAACAATATTGCACAAAGTTTACCCCAAAAGATGGTAAAATTGAGAGCGACGAGAATGAAAAACAATATTGAATTTGAACTTGACAAACAAGAGACGACTATAAAATTTGCAAGGGTCTATCTTTTCTGATTAAACGAATTGGATTGAGATCGAGCCAAAGACTTATTTATAGACAATGATCGGAAGTTTTCCGCCTCAGATGACGAACTGGCACACAAAGAGGAAGATAAAGATGCAGAAACAATTGAATTTGCTCTGAGTTTTTGAATTTTACTTTCAGACAAATCTAGGTTTATTGATTTATTAGTTAAAACTTCCGAAATCGAATCAATCTTCGATGGCAAAGTGATAAGTTGATAAATCCTTCTATCACGAACTCTCTTTTTTTTGCAAAAACAATAAAAAATTTATCAAGTTTTTTGAAAAGTCTTCAAACCATTAAAGTATAATATATATATATATAAAGAGAGAGAGATAGAGAGAGAGAGAGTTTTGAATTTAAATTTTAAATTTATAATAGAGATTTTATTGACATATTTTAATTGACATTGAATTAAACAATAAAAAATTTATCAAGTTTTTTGAAAAGTCTTCAAACCATTAAAGTATAATATATATATATATAAAGAGAGAGAGATAGAGAGAGAGAGAGTTTTGAATTTAAATTTTAAATTTATAATAGAGATTTTATTGACATATTTTAATTGACATTGAATTAAACAATAAAAAATTTATCAAGTTTTTTGAAAAGTCTTCAAACCATTAAAGTATAATATATATATATATAAAGAGAGAGAGATAGAGAGAGAGAGAGTTTTGAATTTAAATTTTAAATTTATAATAGAGATTTTATTGACATATTTTAATTGACATTGAATTAAACAATAAAAAATTTATCAAGTTTTTTGAAAAGTCTTCAAACCATTAAAGTATAATATATATATATATAAAGAGAGAGAGATAGAGAGAGAGAGAGTTTTGAATTTAAATTTTAAATTTATAATAGAGATTTTATTGACATATTTTAATTGACATTGAATTAAAGGATAACAATTTTCAAAATAAAAAATTAATTTAACTTCTTTTCAAAGAAAGGTATGTTTGAAATAAAAAAAAGTGGACTTAAATCATTACATATACTTTTAAACATGGACTTAGTTCTTTATAAGTTTCTTTGCAGGACTTATCTCCAAACAAGGTACATCTAGGGAGACTCACTTCTAATTTTCACTTAATTTTAAATGGATGTTGCATATGTTTGTTGGCATCGGGCCTCCAAAAGGGTATTTATTCGTAGGACTCTATCGTGTTGGATGAGACAGACTTATACTTTTAGTGGGTTCATATAAAAAATCATTCTACTCATACCTGATTCGTTAATAAATTTATATCTAACGATGCGTATTATATTAGATTCGTATTGTGTATGAATCATATACAATTGGTATATAAATAAGTCATGTATTTTTTTTTTATTAGTGTCACTCATATCCAATTTGTTTTTTAATTATATCATGTTAAGTTTACTCGTTTATGAAACAGGAGGCTTAGAAGACCCAAATTCTCAAAAATTTGTGTAATATTAATAGATCATGTCATATTTAGATGCCCTCGTCCCAAGTTGTCTTTCTCACTTCAGTGTCTTCCATGAAGAAGATTACGGTACCAAAAAAAAATTGTACAAGTTTTGTGAATTTTTTTTTATAAATTTTTAGGATAATTTGTAATTTTTGGGTTATTTTTAGATTTTTAAGATAAATCTCAAGGTAACTTTAAAAGTTATGAATAACCCCAAAAAATTATAAAATGACATAAAAACTAATAATTTTCTTTTGTTATAAATAAATTTAAAAGCTTAAATCTCAACTCATTAAACTTATGGGTGCCCATGGCCGGTTTACCCATAGGTCTCATTACCTGACAAAAAAAGAGTTTGAAATCTGATAGACCTTATAGTTGTTCGCCTGAACCCAAGCTCAATATCTTTAAAAAGAGGACTTGGACCTACCCTCAAATCCATTATTTGACCCGAAACCTGACTCAATTGTCCGCCTGCAAAAACTGATTAAAACTAAGCCCAAGAACCCACCTGCCCAGCCAGTCCACCCTTCATTGGAAAAAAGTTAGACTATTGAATTTGAAACTTTGAAATAAGTCCCTCAATACTGGAATTTGAAGTTTTAGAAATTTAGATACTATAAATAATGTATTTTTTTTTTCATGTATTAAGCATATAAGTTTTAAAAGGCAGAGTTGTATAAATTATATATAGGTGGGAGGTGCTAACCTAGTTGAAATGTACTTATTCTATTGTGATGCAGTTCCTGCCCTATTTGTAAATTAAATTATTAATTATTTACTTTTTTGTCTATGTTGACTCTACTTTTAATTCAAATATATTATGTGCAAAAATATTAAGTTAAAAAATATTCATTATTTTTAAATGAAGTTGTATATAAAAAAGTCCATTAGCAAGCCCATCTAATAGGCTTGCGGGTTGAGCTGTTGGTAGCATACCACCCGATAATTCACTTGGCTAAAAACTTGGGCTTACCATACCTAGACCCAACCCAAAAAAGAATTTGCGGGCTTTTGATTGAGTTATATATGGAAGCCTTTGATTGAGTTATATAAGGAAACCGTTTATTAAATATTATGATAATTAACGGAAGTTTTATATAAAAGTTATATATTCTGATAATTATATATGAAAGTTTGATATACGAATAAATCATTGGTCTATTAAATCAAAATCAAATCACAAAATTTTCTTAACAATTCAAAATTTTATTAACATTAGTGTTACTATAGTGACACGAATGAGATTCTTTTTCTTAAAATACTCAATACTAAAAATGAAGAATTCTACCATTTCAAATAATAACACAAATCCAACCTCAATTTTCACTTACACTACCAATTACAAACTTTTAGACGTATATTATGTAACATATACATTTAATTTTCACAGTAACATCAAAGGTTTGTACTCAATAACATATCAATTTTTACAAAATACAAGGCAATAGAATTTTCACAATAACATCAATTTTTGAAAGATTATAGTAAAAATACGATCCACAAATTAAAAATTTATAAAATTTCTAGTAGTAACACACCATTGACCGGTGAATTATGACACTCAACACTTATCAAGAACATCAAGACATCGAAATTCTGAAATCTATTTTTCAGTTATC